AGGAAATGATCAACACCAATGCTCAACCTCTCAGCAGGATCATTCTCTAGGAAAAAAATATAAAAGTGAAATATTAAAAACCCTGAAACGTGAAATCCATCCGTCTGCACATTAGCTGATGTGTCTCGTTCACATTTGGAGAGACGAGGAGGGGGAAGGCTCTGTTTGAAAGCCAGGAGAGTCAAGAAGTTGCGGGCGGTGGGGGATGGTTTCGGCCAGAGGTTCACAGGTTTAGCAGAGCATAGTGACATCTCTTCAAAGAAGTGGGTGTTGCTCCGTGGCTTGGCTCCAAGCTGCACTCTTTTGGCTCCAGTGTTTGAAGACTAAATGTCTCTTATTTTCACATGCTGGCCGCGATTGGCCAAACAATAACACAGCCTTGCATTGTGATGGTCTGGAATCGTTGGCACAATTAGCTGAGACTCATTAATCAAACTGGCATGAAATGGGAATGTGTGGCCTTCCTCCGTAGACGAGGAAGACGAAGGGTCTGCATTCCGTCCCCAAGGAACTGTGGGGAGGTGCACCAGGGGAAGTCGACTTGCTCTTAGGGTTGCTCTACTCCAGTCAGCTGCTTTATGAACAAAATCAGGGGAGAGATGTCTCCTTGCAGTGTAGAGATATGGGGAGAGTCACGTGGCCTCCACAGAACTACCAAACAGAAAACTACTACGTCTACTACTTCTTTTCTATTCTCCTTCTGTGAGCTAAAGACACACAGAACAGTGCAGCTATTGCTGGAGGGAAGGTGGTGCTGAGAAAGGCAATGGCCGTGTAGGTGGAAGGGCGGTTTGCATTCATTGCTGCTTTATACAACGGGGCCCTGATAAGTGCTAAAGCAGGTGAACGACTTTGGATAAAATGTTCAAATAAACTGTGCTGAAAGGGTCACACAAAGTTGTGGGTTTAAGAAGGAGTTGTTTTGCTCTTTGCAAAGGGTGTCACTGGTGCTGTCCAATAGGTATCCACGCGGCATTTGAAGGAGTATTGTACTGGCCAGCATACAGCATATGATCTGTGACAAAATGTGTGTTTTGAGCACTGTGGAAAGGCAATACAAAGGTCTTGATGTAAGATCTGTCCCCAGATCGTACGTAGCACCAGTGTGGTTGCTCTTCAGAGCGACTCCCAAAGGTCCTGCCTTTAGGCATGGGGAGTTGTATGTGGGAAGCATGGCGTTCTGCAACAGAAGCCATTTCTCAGGAGACAGGGAGACCCTTCTGGCCTTGTCTCCTTGCATGAATGTAATTCTTCTTATGGGACTTTTGGCTGCAGTGATCTCATGTCGTAGTTATTTCATGCAGTTATCTCCCACTGCATTTCTAAAAAGAGTCTCAGCTGGTATTATGGATTTGCTTAGGTTCACAGATGGAGGCATATGGGTTGTGCCTGCGTTAATGTAAGCCAGGTTTCTGGCGAAACATGGCATGACACCTTGAAAAACCTGTGTGTTGGTGCATGGAATGTGTTCACTCCTGCTTGGATCCTTTCTCTAATATGAACTGCTCAGCAAACCAGAAATGATTCGCACAGCACATTGTCGAAAGCCAGAATGATAAGCCGGGATAATGAAGGAAGCTTGTTCTTATGAAACAGGGCTTATTTGATAGTATGTAAGCCTAATGATGGGCCCTGTCTCCCATTTTATTGATGTGAGTTGTTTTGGCAGACAATAAGTATCTGAAAATCACTCTAAAATACCTAAGCTTGTTAATTTATTTTATTTGTACCAAACCTTTCTACCAAAAATGGCACCCCAAGTGGCCTATAGAAACAATTGCAATTGATTAAATCAATCAAGATAATTTAAAATGCAATACAAACATAGCAATTACAGAGGAGCATATTCTGAAAAGCGGCACCCAGTCCAGCAGATCCATTACAGGCTACAAGCCTTCTTAAATAAATGGGTCTTTGCGTGCTGGTGGAAGAAGAGAGGATGCAATCCTGGTCTCCCTGGGAATTCCAGATGAATTCCAGATAACTAGACTGCAGATTTGTTTTATTGGCCATTATGAAGGAGATGACGCACGAGGAGGATATGGGCTGGCAGCAGCTGAGTGTACTCTGCAGCCAGCAAATTCAGCCCTGACAATATTGCAGCCAAACAAGTTCAGAATGGTGAAGACTGTTCTACTATGAAAATTGAAAATCAATCAAAAGGTCATTTGAAGTTGGTATGGCTATTAATCCTAAAAGAGAATTGCAAGAACATTCTGCCAGAGGAAAAAAACACGCATACTCATTTGTCTTTATGTGAATATAAGGTTGAATGTACAATAGTGCACTGCTTATATTCATGCCCTGCTCAAGAACACTTGAATATTAATTTCAAGTATAATTTTCACTGCATCTTTTCACAGGACAGTCAGGGTGGTGTAGTGGTTAAAAGCACAGGTCTGGGACTCATGTGATAGGGATTCTGGTTCCTACCCAGCCATGGAGCCAACTGGGTACCTTTGGGCCAGTCACAGACTCTCAGCCCAGTCTACCTCACAGGGTTGTTGTTTTGGGGATAAGAAGGTGAGCAGAATGAGGAAAATGATGTAAGCCTCTTTTTCACTGGAAGAAAGCTGGATATAAATCTAATAAATAAATAAATGTGGATGTCATATATGTTTCTTTGCATTGGCCCATTGGCTCAGTCACATTTTAATAATTTCCACTAGCAGTATTATGCATTCTTTTCCCTAAGGAAGATCAGCTAGGTTGCTTTACCTGGTAGGAGAAATACGTATTGAGTACATATGCATATGTACAGAAGCCTTTATTCATAGGGAGAAAGAAGGTGCATTATTTAAGATATGCCATAAAAAGTTATGTAAGGATGAACATTTTGCAGTCTGCATTCAGCTCACCCTAGTAATTCAGAATCAGCCACTGAATACACACACCCTGATTCTACAGCATGTTTTGATCAGTTTTGCATCACAGTCAGGGGAGCTCCAGAAAAGGTCTCCTACTTTGCGAAATGAGAGGCAGCTTCCTCTGGCAACTTCTTGTGGTAGGTACTTTGGCATGCGGCCCTGATGAGTTTGTGTAGCCTTGCAGCATCCTGGTGCCAGGGACTTCAAAGCAGATGGCTCGCCCATGCCCCGGATGGCGTATGTGAGATCCTCTGTGCGGTTTGTCTATTCTCTGTCTAAAGGCTACAGCATGCCAGTTCTGTGGATTATGCCTTGTGCTTGTTCACTTAGTCAGGCTCCCTTATTTTGCTGCTTCAGGAGGCAGTCCTAAACTCTGTTAATACCATTTTTTCCCAAAGCTCTCCTGCTGGGTGAGCTTAAATCCTTGCATTAATCTACTGCTGTGTTTGTTTCACCATGCTGAAAAGCAGGATGTTTAAATCCCCTCTAAATTCTACTCATGCTTCCAAACACCAATGGCTTGATCTTTTTCTAGACATGTTAGAATTAGACAAGTTAAAATCCAGATTCCTAGGGTCAAGGATAGGAAAGGATTAGGGATAACAGAACAAGAAACTAGTTGCTGTTTCAACCAAAATGAAATTACTTCCTGCTGTGTAGAATGGGTTTCTGTTGCTTGGTGAGGAATATGTAGCCCTCAAGATGTTGGTGGACGCCAGCTCCCATCAGCCCAATTTTCTAGGTGTTACTGTCGCTTGTTAAAGTGATCGCTGAATAACCCTAGGATTGTCCATGCTACAATTGCCTTCACTCTAAAAAGTATAATTTGTGCTTAGTATCATCAGTACATAGTGACTGGTAGTTCAGATTATAGTGTCTTTGTCTTGCAATCCTTGATTCGCTAGGATCACTCAAGAAGAACTGAAGTAGAGAAAAAATGCCACTGACATACACTTGGGAGGAGGGAGATGGCTGTAAACACTGTGAACACCCTCTTCCAAAATAGATTTAAGGGGTATCCCCATCCTGGTACTTTAGAAGTGAAAAGGAAACAGTAGGACATTTCTCTGAACTTTGTTCTTTACAATACCATGCTAACAGGAAAACTCTTCTGACATTGGATCTATAAAAGTGGTTTCGAAACTGACCATTTGGGAGTGGCTAAATGAAGAGGGCAGTAGTACAAGACAGTCTTCCATTTTACCAGTCCTTTCCTGCTACGTGTGACTGCAGGATGCGGTCTGTTAATGTGTTCATAAGTGGCAAAAATCGGGGGTGGGGTGGGGATTTCATCCATTTGCAGAGAAGTAGAAGGTGAGGTCCACTGCTGCCTGGAGCAGTTGCTATTTCCCTGCCCCACCCCCTGCATCAGCCTCCTGGGGCCTTCCAGAGCACCAGCCTGGTTCCCTGCCCGTCTTAAGACAAGAGTAGCTGAAAGCAGGTACGCTCTCAAGCAAACAGGCACCAGAAGCATGCCTGGAAAATAAAAATGGAAGGAAGCTGCAGCCCAGGGCCTTCTTTTGCAGCAAGCCCAGACGCTCAGGAAAAAGGTCATGGAGAGTAGGGGGTGCCCTATCGGGCAGAGTGGGATAGTAGGGAGGTGTTGCAAGCACTCTGTGTTTTTTTTTCTTTGAGGGTGTACATAGTATGTGTTAGCAGGGGTAGCTTTGATGTAGTGTACTTTGAGGTGTATTTGTGTTGTGTCTGAGTTGTGGGTGTGCTTTGCCTGGATTTTGTGCATGTGTGGTGTGTGTGTTTTACCTGGACTTTATGTGTGCATGTGCAAGAGGTGTCTGTACTTTGCGTTTTTTGGAGGGGGTGACTGAGACTCCTGCCTGCCCAAAACGACCTTCTGCTTCTGCCTTTTGGGAAATGGGTGTCTTGTGACGGGCCATACCCATCACGGCGGCCATTTTGTGCAAGGGCCCATGATGAAGCCTCAAAATGTAAAATCTGCACAGAAGCTGGAAAAGATTAGGAATCCCTGTGCGGCAGCATCGCATAGTATCGTTACTAACATCATCACCCCTGTGGGGCAGGTGGAAATGGCCGCTGACGCCTGTGGGAGCAGAGGCCATTCCTCCCTGAATGCCTTCCGCACACAGCACAGCATTGTAACAACTTCCTCAGAAACTGTCTGCGAATGGGAAATCCTGGCCACCTGGTGGCAGCACTGCAACAAAATTGGAGGCAGTGAAAAGACGAAGCCAACTATAAGAGGCGCTTATGGGAGCGGGTGAATTCATCTCCCAAACCCTCCCAAATATAGCAAGCCAGAAGTTCTCCACTGATATTTTTCAGCTCAGCCCTAAACACATTTTAGAAAGAGATCTGGAAGCACTGAGCTTTTAAAAATCGAACGTCTTTTAAAAGTTACTTTTTTTTTTTTTACTTTCAGCAGATGGAAGCAAGAAATAACTAGCACAGTCTTGCCAGCAACACATGGGCATGTATGAGAAATCAGTTTAGGGATGAAAACTTGACAGATTTTTACAGTTCGGCCCTGTGGATTTCCTTCCTTCCTGCCCCCTTAACTTGCATCAACTCATTCCATAACAAGTGGAGCCAGTACACGGCTTCCATTTTTTTTCTTTCCAAAGAGGAAACATGCACTTTTTTGATGGTGGCAGAAAATCTTGAATTTTTTGCAAATGGTGTCATTATTTTTTAAAGAATTTTGGGCCATCTTATGCAAATGCACAATTGCAACACAAGTGTAGCACAAGACTACACAAGCAGAGCCATCAACTTGGCCATTCCTACCTAGCCAACCCACTTTATTTGGGGAGGAGGATGAAAACAGGTCAGTTATGCTATAAGTATGCAATCTGACTTGCTGGGCTAACCAATTTGTTTGTGGAGAGGATGAAGCAGACAGGGTGTTTATAAGTGGAGGCTCTGTGACCCACAGACTTGAGATCATTTGGAATTGAGCAAGATTTCTAATGAATGATTAGGAAATAATGGTGCCATCTGCATCCATGCCATTACTGTGATTTGTGCTAATGGTAGGAACTGGAAAAAATGCACAATTGTTTTCTGGAATTGGGGGAACAGATTTAGGAATCCCCTCAGGCTTAAATAGAATTCCCAGCATTGCATATCCATAACAACACAATATGTTTTAGGATAAATGACACCTAAGGTTTTGAATTTGTAGTTTTGTTTTTAAACCTCTTTTTCCTCCC